GGAGAATATTAAGCCCTGGTTCACACCAGTGCAGCTTTGAAATCCCGCTACTTCATGCAACTTCAAAGTTGACTATTCGGTGCAACTTCATTGTGGCTTGCTGACACTCTATGCAACATCATTTAACAGATGTGAATACAAGTTGCAATGAAGTAGCACAAAAATAGTGCAAGAACCTTTTTCAAAGTCGCTGTAAGGGAATTCCAGTGAGACGGCTGGCTAATAGAAATGCGCGATCGCACACACTCACACCCACAGCGAAGATTGGCGCCAGACGGACTATTTAAAAGGTGCCTCTGCTTGTGCTGAGTACTGACTGGTCTTCAGCTGTTCCCCGTTTCCTGCTCATTCCTGTGTGATTTCCTTGTTGCTGACCCGGCTTGTTCCTGACCTGACTCTGATTACTCTCCTGCTTGATACTTGTTCCTGACCTCAGCTCTGCTCCTGGCTTTGGCTTGCTTATGATTTGGTACCTTGCTGTCCGCCCGTTGATGACCCTGGCTATTCCTATGACATTGCTCCTGCCTCCCATCCCAGCTTCCTGCCTTGCTCTGGTGCACGCCTTGCAATCTACCATATCAGCTTTGCATATAGCTACTGTTCCTGAATCAGTGGTTTCATCAGCCTTTTAAGGACTCCAGCTGCAAGTGTTGCAAACAACATCTGCTGGCACTCTTGTCCCCCTGGTCCCTAGACACCCTCTGTTCCACTTCCAGTGGGGTCAGGGCTAGTGACACAAGTGAGCCCAACCTCGTCATTTCAGTCTCCAATCAGGTACGTGACAGTACCTGTAAGCCAGTGATGGAGTCTGAAAGGGAGGCCTCTGCATTGGGGGACATTTGCCAATCAATCTCTGCCTTGTCTTACATGGTGCAGAGTTTGCAAAAAAACTTGATCACATGGAGAACCAACTACCAGCCAAGCCAGAAGTTTCAGCAACCATGGGTCCCTCTGCAGGCTCAAATATGACTACTCAGACAGATTTATGGAATTTTTCCTGGGTGCCAATACCTGAATATTTGGATCCTTATTTAGGATTTATGCACATTTATACTATACAGTAAAAAGTCTGTGATTACCATCATTGAGGTGGTGCATTATTCACTGTGTACACTATTGGATCCATTGAGGATCGGTTCACCACTACATATCTGCAGGTCCCTGGAGGGTCAGGTCACTGTTTGTGTTTTGTTGCACATTGTGTCACTTTATGTATATGCACTTTTATATATTGTTTAAACATTAAGCATGAGTTATATTACTAGCATCAGAGTAGCGCTGCATCATTTCCTTCATTTCATTTATCTTTGATCATTTTGGTATGTGATTGGATGTTAGCAGCTTCTCTATATATATATTTATATATTTGGTACTTTTTTTAGGTAGAAGGAGGTTTCCACCATCATTTCTAAGGATGTGGAACTCACTTTCACAATTGGTGCTGTCAGCAAGAAGTTTTGATAGTTATAAAAAAAACTCTTGGACGGGTATTTTAACGAACACAGTATACAGAGATATGGGGAATGTTTTCTGACACTCACACACTAACACGGGTTAAACTGGATGGACTGGTGGCTTTATTCAATCTTACCAACTATGCAACTATGTAACGTCTACTGATTTTGAAAAAATGCACTATTTTGGGCGATTTCATCTGCGACTTGCATTTGCATCTGTGCATGAAGTCGCACAGGTGTCGGCAAGCCACACATGAAATCATACTGACTACCAGCTTTGAAATTGCTCTACTTCAGTTGAAGTAGCATGATTTCAAAGCTGCATTCGGTGTGAACCAGGGCTAATGGGGCGCGACTTGTCATTCAACTTTGAACTCTCAAGTTGCATGACAAGTCGCACTGGTGTGCACCAGGGTTTAATGCTGTATGCATGTAAACATTTGCACTAAGTTGTACAAGAATGTAACATTTAGCAAAACTGTACACTATTGACTCTGAATACTTGTCAGCGCTTTGCAGGAGCAGCCTAGCAAATAGGGTACATTGTATGCATGTAACATTAGCATAAATGTTACATTGCACAGTGTATGGAGAAGATAGGAAACAAATACAAGATATGGACTACATAGGAGTTAGCTGCCAGCAAACCATGCGTCCTTGTGCACGAGCACTTAGAGAGTTGGGTGGTATGGACGAGGAGCTTGTCCTTCAACAAGTGAACTGCTAAGGTATAACCCCTTGACCATTTTGAAAAATAGCAGATCAGTTTGGAAAGGTGATTCAGCAATCCACAGCCAACATCCGCTCAAAGATCAACTTAGCCTGGAGCAAACCCAGGTCCATTAGAACTGATCCAATCAACCTTAGGTTGACCTGGATAACTGTTCTGGTGGAAACTCAAAATATCCCACTTTATGTTCTGGTGGCAATGCTCACCAAGACAAAAAGAGAAAGTAAACTTCCCTAGTAGGGACACAAACAGCAATAAAAACCTGACAAGGGTTTCAAACTCTCCTGCATTCTATTAAAATGGCTTTATATGCACTTAAACTTAAGCTCATCTTTTCTATTCTATTCTTTAATCTATTCCATTCTGTCAAAGACCTCCAGAAAATAAACAAACTAAAGGCTCTTTCAGGTATCCTAATTCACAAAGTTTATCCATCTTCTGAGTCACAGAGGTATTTCTATGCCGACGGATATATATTCCTTTTTTTTTTTTTTTTTACCAAGAAAGGAAACAGGAAAAGGGAGAGAAAACCAGGAAGATGGGGTCAGAAGAGGAACATAAGGAAAGAATTACTGAATTAAAGATTACACTGTTTATTTGCAGAAAACATGACTACTTATTTCTGTCTTACAGGAACCCATGCAGAATGATTAAGGGCTGCCCAGAGACTGGGGCTGGATTGTCATATTACACTTAGGACAACAATGTCAAAGTCCCACAGAACCTTCATTTCTTTTTTTTTACACAATTGCAGTTGATTATAGTTGTACTGGAAATGTGATTGGTGGTAGAAAGTCTTCACTGATTCATAAACCACATCCATTGACTAGACTCTGCTCAATTCAATGGAATTTGCTGTATCACATGGTGGGAGACTTTTTTGAAAGTTCATGCAAGCGTCAAACTTGCTGAACTTTCTGTGACTTACATTTAACAAATACTTTTATTCCTGAGCCAAAAATACCAATGTAAGGATAAAGACAACCTTTTCAGATAGGACATACTGCATGGCAGAGCACTCATCACCAAGAGTACCGCCATTCACGGATGAGAATTCTTTTACTTTTCCTGGGAGTTTGCCGATGATCTGGGCTGTCTCCTGATCTGTTTGTTCTCTAAGAGAAGCAGCTGAGTAGGAAGGTCACCATATTGCTGTAATGGTCTGTGATCAAATTTGTATTAATACAACCAATTTATTTGTCCTGGGACTTTAAATGAGGCACAACACATATTACCAATGAATAACTAGTTTTCAACATTAATTTTTTTTAATAAATGAATACACTTCTCATTGCTTACAAAAGGGGGATAAAATGGTAACAAGCTGATTTGTAATAAATCCATGGATTTATCTGGGAGGGTATCTGTGCTGTGAGGGTCATCTGTACTGGGGAGTCTGTACTGAGAAGGGGCTGGGGATTGGTCTGTGCCTGTGATGGAGAGGCAATTTGTACGTTAAGGAAGAGGTAATTTGTGATTTTACTCTGTACAAGGATGGGGGTCTGTACGGGTGGAGTGGGAGGGGTCTGCATCGGTGGGGAGGTTGGAGGTCTATAATGGCAGAGGGGTCTGTACTGGTGCAGAGGGTGATATCTGTAGTGGAGGGGGGTCTGTACTGGTGCTGGGAGTCTGTACTGAATGGGGCCATCTGCACTGGAGGATTCTCTACTGGGAAATGGCTGGGAGGGGGTCTGTACTTGGGCTGGAGGGTCAGTTTGTACTGAGAGCAGGGGGTAATTTTTGATTGTACTCTGTAGCTGGTGTATTACTCACTTCTGACCCCTGCAAACTCTGCATTACATACTTCTGAACCCTGTACTCTTTGCGTTATGCACTCTTCACCCCTGTACTCTGTATGATAACCACTCCTGACCCTGTACTATATAGTCCCTGCACTCTGTGTGTTACACCCTCCTGATGTTTGCACTCTGTGCATTACACTTTGACCATTATACACTCCTAAGCCCTGCATGACATACATTATGTTTTAATTTTCATACTCCTGACAACTGCTCTCTGTACTCTGGGCTTTATATGACTCCTGACCACAGCACTCTAAGTACATTATATTCTCTGGAAGTTCTTCTAAGTTAGGTTGTATGCAGAAAAGCATACTGTATGTAATGGAACAGTTAAAAAAATTACTGTGAAAAGGTTTGGACATGTCAGTTAGACTCTTGCTTGTTTTTCTTGTGTCGCTACTATTAAAGAATATTTTGTGGGTAAAAGGACAGAGGCATTTGCGTGCCTGTTTACACATGAAGGGTCCGATCTGCTCCACATGCCAGTTTTTCAGGCATACCTGATCAGACCCCCTATTCACCTCTAGACTTGTGTCTATTTACACCCGCCTACCTCCACACCAATCCAATCCAATCCAGTCCGCTAAAAAAAAGGAAGGGGATTTGCACCACTCTGTCTGGGCAGATCAGATTGGAGGGAGGGCAGTCAGGTGTAAAAGGACATCGGAGTCCATATACTCCTGGCAGCCCATAGAGCACAGCAGGCTCTATCCTTGTCCACTCTACATAAACTGAGTGGACATGAACCTGTCATTCTCCCTCTCTGTCCTGATCAGCAGGGGATCAGAGAACAGATCCCATGCTGATCTAAACAGAGTTCACCCCGTGTGAAAGGGGCGTAATTGGTGTTTATCATAATATTCTCTGCAAGAACTGTTGTTGCACTATAAACAGACTGTACTAGGAGTTGTAGCTAGCAAAATAAATACATAAATAATTTTTCTAATGAACAATACCTTTTTGGATGTGATTATCTCCTTTTTGTGACGTATACTATATTGCCAAAAGTATTGGGACATCCCTCCAATCATTGGATTGAGGTGTTCCAATCACCTCAACGGCCATAGGTGTATAAAATCAAGCACCTAGCCATGCAGACTGCTTCTGCAAACATTTGCGAAAGAATGGGTCGCTGTCAGGAGCTCCGTGAATTCAAGCATGGTACAATGATAGGTTACCACCTGTGCAATAAGTCCATCTGTGAAATTTCCTTGCTACTAAATATTCCATGGTCAACTTTTAGTGGTATTATAACAAAGTGGAAGCAACTGGGAACAACAGCAACTCAGCCACAAAGTGGTAGGCCACGTAAAATGACAACGCGGAGTCAGCGCATGCTGAAGCGGATAGTGTGCAGAGTCAATAGCTAAAGACCTCCAAACTTCATGTGGCCTTCAGATTAGCACAACAACAGTGTGTAGAGAGCTTCATGGAATGGGTTTCCATGGCCGAGCAGCTGCATCCAAGCCTAACATCACCAAGTGCAATGCAAAGTGTCAGATGCAGTGGTGTAAAGCACGCCACCACTGGACTCTAAAGCAGTGGAGATGTGTTCTTTGGAGTGACCAATCACACTTCTCTGTCTAGCAATCCAATGGACGTGTCTGGGTTTGGCAGTTGCCAGGAGAACGGTACTTCCCTGATTGCATTTTGCCAAGTGTAAATTTGGTGGAGGGGGATTATGGTGTGGGGTTGTTTTTCAGGGGTTGGGCTTAGCCCCTTCGTTCCAGTGAAGGGAGCTCTTAAGGCATCAGCATACCAAGACATGTTGGATCATTTCATGCTCCCAACTTTGTGGGAACAGTTTGGGGATGGCCCCTTCCTGTTCCAACATGACTGCGCACCAGTGCACAAAGCAAGGTCCATAAAGACATGAGTGAGTTTGGGGTGGAGGAACTTGACTGCCCTGCACAGAGTCCTGACCTCAACCCGACACCTTTGGGATGAATTAGAGTGGAGACTGCGAGCCAGGCCTCTAGTCCAACATCAGTGCCTGACCTCACAAATGTGCTTCTGGAAGAATGGTCAAACCATCCAATAAACACACTCCTAAACCTTGTGGACAGGCTTCCCAGAAGAGTTGAAGCTGTTATAGCTGCAAAGGGTAGGCCAGCTCAATATTGAACCCTATGGACTAAGACTGGGATGCCATTAAAGTTCATGTGTGTATAAAGGCAGGCCGACCAATACTTTTGGTAATATAGTGTATCCATCAGTGCCAGGTGGGATTCTTTTCAAAACTGTTGCAGCTGTATCTTATTAACACGCCCATAAGGCTATGCCCACTTTTTTTCTGGCCACACCCACTCCTCCCAGCACTACATTGAGATTTATGTGAGTGGTTGTCTTTCATAAATAATCTTAAAAGAGAAGTATGGGCTTTTTTATTGCCCAGTTATGCTTACCTGGGTGGTCTGATGCTGCATCTGTCCCTCTCCGGCTGTAAGGGTGAGAACTCACCAATCACATGACTGCTGATCTCACAGCTACTCTGAGCAGAGAATAGGACTGTCAGTCACCGCTCTCTGCTCTCCAGGAGGGGGGAGTGGCTGGCTCAGGCTCTCAGAAAATCGCTGAGAGGCTGAGCCAGATGCCGTTCCAGACTCTGGGGTGGATCCCGACTTTAAAGTTGGGATCTTTCCCCAGGCTGGACTGGCTGAGTTCTGTCAACCAATAGTGGGCTTCAGACCACTTCAGCTGAAATTGGGTCACAGGAGTGCAGAACGAACAACACTCCTGTGATCCACAGGGGAAGTACAGCCAAAAGAGCTATTAATAAATCTTCTTGAACTGCAGCCAGTCTATGGACATGCAAATACTCGCATTTTATTAACAAGTAGTAAATAAAGTTTAAAACAAACTACCACTGACTTCTATAGCTGCAGACACTATGGAGTACTTCATCCTCAAAGTTCAGAAGAGAAGCAAAAAGTTCTTTCAAGCCTGGTCTTTGCATTCTGCCAAACTGCCAAGTTACTTCTAAAAGGAGGGAGCAGAATGAGCTGAGCTGCTGAACAGAAAGTGAAAGTGTTTTTTAATTGTAAATATGACGAATTCAATTCTTCAGTGTTTATACCTATATAGGTCAGCAAGGGCTTGCTCTAGAGTTTATTTACTGCTTGGTAATAATATGTGAATACCTGAATGTCCATACCCTTGCTACAGCTCTGCTTTAATAGTTGACAATGTGCTGCCAAATTGAAAACTTAGATCTAGGATGTATGCTGCAGAGATTTGCTGATATTTGTGTGACTTTCCAGCATATGTAATGTCACTTTCACAGTTCCGAACATTTCAGTATCACTTCTAGATCCTTTAAAATCACGCAGCCAGTTGTTCGTTTTCATGGCAAGTTCACATATTTCCATAAATGGTTTACTTCCTCCAATGACATTGCATATTGACTTCATTGAGCCATGTTAGTATTATGGCTATAACAAAGACACATGACACTGTTTGATACAATGTTAAGAACCAGACAGCTTTGAGCTTTATAACATGACATCCAACATCTCTCATTATAATTAACATTTGTTTTGTATTTTTTAAACAAAAGGACTTGTGTACAGCTGTATGTGAAAACAACAAGCTCCAATGTTATGGCTACTTTCATGGTCAGAGATAGAAGAGGTTAGGTAGACTTGACCTTGAAGGAACATTCCACAATTCCATTCATTCTTCAAGCTTTTAGTTAAAGGTGATCTCTGCTTTATTAGAAGTTTAATTCAATCCCCATTGGAGCCTCTTAACCATTAACACATAAAGGTTCTCTTTACTGGATAAGTCAAATTTTCATGTTATCACTTATCCAAACTGAGACATCCTCCATTTGGCCGTGTTTTTTTCTGTTAGTGACATGCATGCAGTTACTGGTCTCAGAACTCAAACATCCTACAACCAACAATTATGGTCCCTCAGCTACTGTTAACGAGGCGGTGGATGTGGGGCAGACCTAACCAAAGTAGCCATTGACAGTTTCAAGGCTGCAAAAAACATTACCAATTAATTTTTGCTGGGCACTTCATGTGATATCATCTGGTATTTTCATTAATTTAGAATCATGTTACAGATGAATTGTCTGCTTGTTTGCCTTTAGTAATTTTGGCCCTACCTCACTCCATAGCTAGTGGATTCTCTATGTAATTAGTCCCTTCCGTCTTCTTCATGCTCTAGCTTCCATTCATTACATGCACTGTAGTGTGCTGAAGCTAGACACATTACAATTTTTTGACCTGATGTTCATCTGTTATGTTCTACACAAACTTGGATTAAAGCTTTCTATGATCTGCGAGATGTCATTTGGATTGAGTCACTGTCTGCCAAGCTACTGAGACTGTAAGTTAAGCTATCTCACCACAACTGGATCAGTTATAAAAAGATTACACTTTTTGCCTGGGTTCACATATATGTGGTGGGGTATATTGCATGTGATTCGCACAGGAACTGCACGGCATTCTATGCAAATCACTTGTGATTTGTGTGCAGTGTGATTGGAACCATACATTTTGTATGGCTCTAATCGCAGGACCCTTTTTTTGGTCTAATCGCAGGACCCTTTTTTTGGTCTAATCGCAGGACCCTTTTTTTGGTCCACACTAGAATCGGATCGCATGGGTATTCACACCTATGCGATCCCATTCTGCATATCGCACCGCATTTTGCTGACTGCTTTTGGGGTGTTGTTAACTTAACACACACACCCACAGCAGTTCGCATGAACGGGGTGCGACTCTGATGCGGTGCGGATTTTACACAGAAAACGCTGCAAATTTTGCATCAGTGTGAATCATGGCTCAGTGCTTAGATTGCGGAAGCAGAATAGTTAGCCCCATGTGCAGTACTTTGCAGTGCTATATGACTGGCATTTTTCTATAGTTCCAAAACAAAAAGATATAATCTAGAATATGAATTCTGTCTGCTGGTACATATATTTGCTCCAGTGGGCCCCAGTAGTACAATGAAGATAATCATGGGTGTTCAGAGCCAGTAGGGTCCTAAGAAAGACACACATCCTGGAACCCCAGCAGAGCACACGTGTATGCATAATAGGAGGCTCTTTGCATTATCTACTCAGTTGTGTTCTTATTATTACATCCAGTAGCTATACATACTTCATATCCACCTCTTAGTAGATCTTCAAAACCCAAAGAACTTCACCAAACATACCAAACAGGACTTTAAAAACCCTCTAAACAGGATGCCATACCTCAACCAACACTTTGTCCACCATTTCACTAATTTCGCCAGCCTGCCTTGCTTTATTGCCTTTATTCCAAGAGCAGCCATTTTATTTATTTATTTATTTCAGGTACTTATATAGCACTTTCAATTTACGCAGCGCTTTTACATATATATATTGTACATTCACCTCAGTCCCTAACCCTCAAGGGGTGTACAATCTAAGGTCCCTAACTCACATTCATGCATACACATACTAGGGACAATTGAGACAGGAGCCAATTCACCTACCAGCATGTCTTTGGAGTGTTGGAGGAAACCGGAGTACCTGGAGGAAACCCAGGCAGGCACAGGGAGAACATGCAAACTCCAGGCAGGTGGTGCCGTGGTAGGGATTTGAACCGGTGACCCTAGTACTGCCAGGTGGACGTGCTAACCACTTAGCCACTGTGCTGCCCATTTTTAATTAATATGCTTTGAGTCAGCCCTGCTCAGCCCCCTGCAGACTGTATCCATCAACCATTACTGCCACTCTAAGGCCATACAGGCTACACAGAGCTGGTGGTGCCCACCTTGCATGGAGACACATTAGAGGCCAGAATTCTGCCCCCTTCATGCCATCAACCACCTTGTTAGGTTGAAATGACTCCATTATGATGACTTTATTGCATGAATGTGATGTTATGCTTTGTGTATTTCTGGAGCATGATAACATGCACATAGAGAAGATTTCAGTCATCCACATCCATCCTCTAAGTCATCCTTTCTCAACCAGGGTGCCCAGGCACCCTGGGGTGCCTTGAAGTTTCTTCAGGGGTGCCTTGGCAAAATGTCTAAAAATTGCCCAAAACTTGTATACAAGCCAGCGGGTAGAACAAACCTGCCTTTTAGTTACACAAAGCCACAGGTTTTCATTGTGCGCCATTTACAACCTTCTAGCTGCCGGCGTTCTGACAACCAATGACATCATAAGTTGATAAGGAGGATGTCAGCTGCCTGCACAGCATCCTAGTTTGACCCTCCCCTGCCCCTCTCCATCAGTGCTGGGGTCACATTAGCTCAGTGATGGAGAAAAACTGAGGGAGAGGAGAAACATTGGAATACTACTCAGTACCAGTGTGCAGAAGTGTATTTGCTTTGGAAGAATAAATTACCTCTATTGTGGGTGTCCTACATGTGTGGAAGTTGCTGTGTTATTAAAACTATTAGAACAGTTTTTCACATTTTAGAATGGGGTGCCCTTTTAAAATTATGGACAGTCTTGAGGCACCCCATTTTAGAATGGGGTGCCTCAAGACTGTCCATAATTTGAAAGGGTTCCTCGGGGCTGTCCATAATTTTAAAGGGTGCCTTGACTAAAAAAAGGTTGAGAAACACTGCTCTAAGTCTAGGTTGTCCTACATTTCCATGATTTTCACATTTGTTTTATACTGTTTGCTTCTTGGTGCTTCTGATTTCCTGAAACCTCCTTGCAGCCACTTCCTGTCTA